TCATCCCTGTGCTCCAGCCTCCAGGTGTCCTTACCGCTCCTTGAACCAGAACCCACTAGACATGCTCCTTCCTTAGGGCCTTTGCTGTGACGGTTCCCTCTGCCTGGAATACTCCCTTCAGCCACTTACCTGACCTCTCCCTTCTTCCACGTATTTGCTCAAATTGCTCCTTTGCAAGGAGGCTTGCCCTGACCACCCTCTTAAATACTGCAACCTATTAACCCTCCACCTCCCGTTCAGGAATCCTGATTTCTCACTCTGTTCTGTTCTGTTTTGATCTGTTTCATAGGACCACTTTCTGATACACCATATAACTTCTTTATTTATTTTATGGATTGTTTGTTGCCTGTTTCCCCAGATAAAATGTAAGCTACACAGGGTGAGCATCTTTGCTCGTTTCATTCACTGTTGTTTCTCCAGTGCCCAGAATAATACCTGACACATTGAGGGTACACAGTAAATACGTGTTGAATGGAAGAACCACTGTCTGGTCTTTTGTGATAATCATTTCCTTGCTTTTCTTTGTACTGTACCTCCACCCATGTACCCATTCCAAATAATACAATTTAGTTTGGCCTGTTTAACTCTACACTGTATTTGTTTGAATCATACCATATTCATTGTCTTATGTCCCACTTTCTTTTGCTCAACATTGTTTTTTTGAGATTCATTCACATTGTTGCATGTAACTGCAGTTCATTCATTTTCACCTGTGGTCAAGTTTGCCGTTGTATGAATATACCACAATCCATCTGTCCGTTGAGCTGTTGAAGGACCTCTGGGCTCCTTCCAGTTTTTGGTAGCATCAAACAGTTCTGTTACGACTAACTTGAATGTGTCTCCTGGTACGTGTGTCCATGAGGTTCTCTGGGGTATATACCTGGGAGTGCAACCTCAGGGCTCAGTGTATGTGTCTTTTCAGTTTCTAAAGTGGTTGCATCAATCTACCCTCCCATCTGTAGTAAGGTCACCTCTTTTGGCCTCAGTTTCCCCTGTGCCCTTTGTAAAATAAGAGGATTGGAGGGTTGGATTTCTGAGATTTCTTTTGGTTCTGATGTTCTATGAATATGTGATCAAGAATCCCTGAATCAGAAGCACTTGGGGTTGAACAACCTTCAGGGAGCACCTAACTTATGAGCGAGAGAGGAGATCGCAACCTTGCTTGGGATGAGGACTCCCAACATTAGGGTGAGGCACAGTCCTAAACTCTTAAGACTGCTGTTGGGTAGAGACTCGGGCCTTGACAGAGGCTGGCAACTCTTGTTTGTACACCATGATCTCTGCTCCTGCCCAGACTTGAGAGAATTCCCAAACACAGAACATGGCAAAGAGAGACAAGAGGCAAAATAGTAAATTCCTTCAGAGACAAGGTTAAACGTGTCATATGGAAAAGTCAGGGGTAAGTGATTTGTGTATGCAGGGAGGGCTGCACAGATTCTTCCAGAAAGAGGAGGGAGTTTTACAGGAATATACCTGGTGGAGAGGAGGCTGTGGCAGTTTTTGAGAGAGGGTGAGAACAGAGTGAGGGATGGTGACTCTGGGACGAGCCAGTCTGGGAGCAGGAGGGCTTCCTGGACAATCTTTACTCCTTGAGCACAGATGCTGCCACCCAGAGGGATAGCTGCTGCCCAGGGAGCTGAATTGGCCATCCCTCCAGATTCCCTGTCACATCAGAAGGAGGGGCTCTGCCTGCACCTCCCTAGGCAGCCTCCCCAGGACACATGGGCCCTTGTCTCCAATGGGAGGCTGGTCAATACTGGGCAAAAGCGACAGGTGCAGGGGGTGAAGACCACCTGGTTCTCCACAGGATGGATCATGATGGGGCTCTGCTGAAAGCACCCATCTTGGGATGTTGCAAGGAGAGAAGTGGGTTTAGAACTGGACACTCAGGTAGACCCTCCTCCTAGCTGCATCTCCTCCCTCCTCTCCCTACCCTTCCCCTACAATTGCTTTCTTTCATTCATGTATTCATTCTAGCATTTATTCAGTCATGCAGACGGTGAGTGCTTAATATGTGCCGAATCCCCATTCTAGGCACTGGGGATGCCAAAATGAACAAAGCACACTCCTGGGCCTTTGGTTGCCTGCAGTCAAATGAGGGAGACCCACTGGATAGAATCTTCTTACCCACCTCCTCACCTGCAGCAGCTGGTAGGGGACAGGGCCAGGGACTTGGAGTCAGAGCATCAGTATGACGGCTGGTTGATCATCTGCAAATGATGATAACACTTAGCTCAAGCAGTCATCGTGAGGAGGATGCCTTTCGTATAGTAGATACTCAATACATATTAGCTAAAATGGATTCAAATCTACGAGGGAGTCATTAGCCAGTCTCAGGTTTCTGGAACTGAGGTAGAAAGCCCACAGCCTGGGCATGGAGATGGTGCCTATCACCCTCCATATCCAGTGACATGTACCTGTCTTCTAACCCAGATTAGAAGAGGAGGGAAGTGACTCAAATGGGAACATCAAAAGGGTTTAGAGCTTTTAAGGCAGAACAGAAAGATGAGAAAATGGGGCCCAGATTGATTTATTCGGGGCAGATGAATCTCTGTGGGGGCAGGATGGGGACAGTCTTTTCTGGGGAGGCTGGGGGTTGGGCAGAGGCCTGGACTGGGACCCTGGAGAGAACTGGAAAACCTCAGTGGTTGGCTCATGGACCCTCTGGCCAGCGCCTCTGCCCCCTCCCTCCCTGGACAGTTATTTTCTTGTCCTTGCCTAGGAATAGTAAAACTTGGTCCTAGCAACACCTAGATGGAGGACTTAATCATTCAGCAAGTATCTACTGAGCACTTACTATGTACCAGTCCCTATTTAAACTTCTGGAAATACAGCGATGAAGAAAACAGACAAAATCCTCATTTTCATGCATACATGCAAATACATATGAAGGATAAAATGATAGAAATGGAATTGCTGGAGCAAAGGGCAAGTGTGTTTAAAGTTTTTATTGATATCGCCAAAAAAGTGTTTGTTGCCAGGGCGCGGTGGCTCAAGTCTGTAATCCTAGCACTTTGGGAGGCTGAGGTGGGAGGATCTCTTGAGGCCGGGAGTTTGAGACCAGCCTGAGCAACATAGTAAGACCCTGTCTGTGCAAAATATTTAAAAATTAGCTAGGTGTGGTGGTGCACTCCTACAGTCTTAGCTATGCTGGAGTTTAGGGTGGGAGTATCGCCTGAGCCCAGGAGTTTGAGGCTGCAGTGATCGTGCCACTGCACCCCAGCCTGGGCAACAGAATGAGACCCTGTCTCTGAAAAACAAACAGGCCAGGTGCAGGTGGCTCATGCCTGTAATCCTAGCACTCTGGGAGGCTGAGGTGGGGGGATCACTTGAGTTGAGGAGTTTGAGACCAGCCTGAGCAAGAGCAAGACCCCGTCTCTACAAAAAATAGAAAAATTAGCTGGGTGCTGTGGTGGGAGCCTGAGGCAGGAGGTTAATTGCTGTGGCCTGGTGATTCCTCCTAACTACGATCTTTGGCCTAGCCCATAAAGACCCTGAGTTGCTGTGCCCCAAGGCCAGAAATGAAGTACCGTCATAGGAGATATTTTCTTTACCTAGAGAGAGGGCACTCTTCACTGATATTTGTGCTATTTGGGGAGGTTCTTGGGAGAGATCGAGCTCAACTCATGAAGGGGTAGAAGATTCTTTAGGGCCTCTTCCTTATTTTAAGACCAAGAGGAGAGAGGAGGTGGGGAGCTACTATTTTAAAAAGATGAATATATGGTAAGGGACCAGAAAGTGACATCATCTGGGAACACTTGGTTCAGGCGTGGATAGCAAGTTCAACTACGGACTCCTGGCAACAGCACTGAGGGGAGAGGGGCTTGGGGAGGTTTTTGTCCACAAGTGTCGCAACATTGTTGCAGTGTGAGTATGACCCTAAGTGCTTGGCAGAGGCATAGGCCTACTGATTCCCTGCATCCTGGGCTGACCTCTTCACCTGCGCTGGTCAATGGATGATTCTGGTCTCCATTCTGGAGCTAAACAGCTGTTAGGTTCAGGGAGCAGCTCCAGAGAGACCTACAGGATTGGGGTGCAGGTCGGGAGGCTCCAGAATGTCACAGCAGTAAATATATGTCCTGATTTCCAGGACTGTCTGATTTCACGTATTCTGCCCCACAAGTTCGCCAGCTCTTGTCAGACTGGGTGTCCCAGTTTTTGGTTTGGAAAATACGGTCTGTCTCACAGGTAATGGAGAAAGGGAGGGGGCAGTTCGTTCATTCTAGTGTCTAAGACGTTGGTTGAATGGGAGCAAGAGACTGGTAGAAATGGCCCCAGCCCTGTGTGCTAGAAGCTCCCATCGAATTCTCAGCTCCGCCCCGATCTGCGCTGAGGCGAGAAGGTGAGTGGGACGGAATTCGCTGTGACTGGCGCCCTGCTAGCCCCCTTGCTCATGACGTCCCCGCCCTATCCCATAAGGGGAAGTAGGCTGCGTTAACCTGGGCTCTCAGCCTCGCCCCGCCAGCTCAATGGAGAGGGTGTAGGGAGCGGAGAGGCGCCACGTGCGTAAGGGAAAGCAGTCTGCCACGGCTGCTTAAAAAGAGGGTCTAAGCAACTGGGTTTGGAGTGGCAGATTACAAGCGGCCGGGATTGGGACGTCAGTTTCTCCCAAGGGAGGGAGGAAGGGGTCTCCAAGTTCCAAACCTGCGCCACAGCTAGTTGAGCTAACAACCCCCTCTCCCTCCCGAAGCTCCCCTACCAGAGTGGCAGTCGGCCCAGCCCCGAAAGCGATCAGGCCACGGCCCCCAGCACCGTACGCTCTCCTCCCAGCGTAGCCCGGCCCATCTCCCCACCCGAGACCCCGCCCTGGCCCCGCCAGTCCTCTAGAGGCGGCGCCCGAAGACCGTCTGCGGCGGACGGGCCGGCGGGACTACAAGTCCCAGCAGCCCCGGGCCCGCCCCCGGGGGCGGGGCCACGCCGGCAGCGAATTGGGAGAAGCACTGGCGCTCAGGCTAGGGAACGCGTGTAACCAATGGCGGGGCCGCTCCAGCCGTGAGCCGATGGGGGCGGGGAAAAGGCCGCCTGGACCGGAACAAAAGCCGGATCCCGGGCAGCTGCCGGCGGCTGGAGCGCTCCGGGCAGTGGGGTGAGTCGGGCCTACGGAGGGAGCGGCGCGCACAGACTTTCGCAAGGAGGTGAGTGCGGGTGGCTGTGTTTGCAGGCGGGACCCCAGCTTGCCCTGGGAGCTTCCTGCCTCTCTCCCTCAACCCGGAACCGCCGGCGCTGGCTGGGTACTTGCACACCCTCCCTGCACCTGGTTGGAAGTTTTGGGGGGTCTTAGCTTTAGGTTAGCCTTCGCCCGGGACCCCAGCCGGTGGCCGTGTGTCGACACCTCCACCCCAGCCTCCCTCATTCCAGTTCTTCGGAGTTTGCACAGGGCTTGCCGCCCTTGTTCTCTTCGCCAAATTGCATTTGCCCCATCCTGGCGCCCCTCTCCCCCACCCCGGGACAGCTCCTCGGGCTTTTTCGGGCCCCCCCACCGGATGCCGGGACGGGAAGTAGGGAAAGCAGTGGCGACTGGCCCCACGCCGATCCCTCACAAGCCGGCCTCAGGCCCTTTCTCTTAGCTCTGTGGAGAATCCATTGAGCTGCACGCCGGAGTGGAGGGAGCGAGCTGGGCGCGCCGCTGGGGCGGGCCACGCGGGGCCAGGCTGCCCCAGGGTGCCCGAGGCCTTGCCTTGCCGTGCGAGGACTTGGCCCGGAGCGGTGGCGCAGGGAAGACCCTCCCCGCCCTGGGGGTGCCGTCGGGCCCAGCCCCTAAGTGACAGATGGCCAGGGTGCCCATCTCCCTCCCTACCCCACCCCACCCCTGAGCTGATGCCGAGCCTGACCAGGCAAGATTCTCAGGGGGCTGAAGGATGCTGCCGCCGCCCTCCTGTCGAGTGTGGCACGGGGCCAGGCCCAGCGCTTGCTGCCCTCTCCAACCTTGGCAGATACCATGCAGTACTGAAGATTTATGCCATTAGAGGGTCTGCTAGCCTACTCCTCCCCTCTGCCGTTTAACTTTGCCGGCTCAGCTCCTCGGATTTCTGAAATGTTGGGTGGAGGACAGCTGGTAGACCCCAGGTGCCTAGAGGGGTAATTTTCACCTCTTCAAAAACTCTAAACAGTTTGGGGGGCGGTAATGGCAAGAACCCTCAGACTCTGGGCAGCTGCTGTCTCCATCCCCATCCTGACACTATTCTTATTGCAGTAGGTGGCATTCACAGAATTCTCCCTCTCTTATTTAAGCCAGGGATTGTCTTCTCAAATCCCAGTCCGGCAGATACTAATCTTAAAATGAGTGCTTTTTGTCCTTCCCAGAGAGAGACCCTAAGTAGCGTCCTCAGAGATTCCTTTCCACTGGCTGTGTTCCAGGGGTACATCCTGGGGAACAGGCTCCTTTCATTCAGCCTTCCCTGTGGGCTGCTGTTTCTCTCAGTGGCTGAACTCAATCCTGGGTCACTCACTCAGTCTGCAGAAAAGACCCCATTCAGCTCTTAAGGTTCCCTCCCTTAGAGAATGTGTGTGTTTTTAGGTTCCTTGGCCTGATTTCCTCCAAATGGCTTATAAATTTACCTGTTACCAGGTAACAGTTCCTGGAGTCCAAGGTCTGCCTCACTGTATATCACCAGTTTGACAGCGAGGCAGCTGGCGAGGCAGCCTAAGACTTTGGGGAGGGCGGGGTCCCCAAGCCAAGATTGGTATATACTTTATTTATTTTTTAATTATTTATCTATTTAGAGGCAAGGTCTCGCTCTATTGGGCTAGAGTGCAGTGAAGATTGGTATATACTTTAAGTGCCATTGTCACTAGAGCAGATGTTTCCATCTGTGGGCCATGAGATCATAGTCACAGGTGATCACCTCAAAATGATAGGCACAGCTGGATATGTGCACATTTTGCTGGGCTTTTCTTCAGAGTCTCAAGAGTCTGAGACCTCAACAAGATTAAGAGAGTCTCCTTAGGAGGCTCCAAGACTGAACGATTAAAGTTGCGATTTATCTCCACTGAGTCCACTCTCTGTGTTTGTGAGCCAGTTGCCTTCTCATCCTGCATTGGTGAATATGCAGGGAGCAGCCTCTCTCTGCCTTTTTATTCTGTTGTATAAATTATTTGTCTCGACCTCCCCTAAGCCAAAGTGCTTGGGTGGCAAATCTTTTGCTTTGGTAAACTGGGAAATCTTGTTTTCTATCCTGTATCATCCCCCTTCCAAAGACCCTATGAAGATGGGCTCTTGTATCTGAGACTTAAGAAAATTGTGATTTTCTTTAGCTGCAGAAGCTCACTTTTCTCTCCCTTGTCCTTTCCAAAATTGGGTCTTGTGTCTGTTTTGGGAGGTGCTCGGTTCAGGAGACTGTTGTACTGGGAATATCAGACTTCTTTCTTCTAGAGAGGCTTAGCCAAGGGGCTTCCTTTCTCCTGGAATTTGTCATCGCTCTTGCCGAAGGTGTCCGAACTGCTGGGGGTGGTCAGCTGCTGTCCCCTCCTCTTTCTGCTCTATCTGCCCTGCCTTACACTGTGTTTGGGAGGGGGATGGAGGTGTACCCATTTGATTTCAGGACCAGTTTTTCTGGTCTGAGTCTAGAAGGTTGGGAAATGGAGTGGGAGTGGGTGGGGGGTGGAGGACTGTAGGGCAGTGAGGCTGGTCAAGGTGTCTCCTTTGGAAACTCATACTGAGAAGGAGCCACAAGTCATCCCAGGGGAAGGCCAGAAAAGGGAACATCTCTTCTGAGCCCCTTCCTAGCTACCCGACTTTGGGCCAGACACCAGGCTGAATACGCCCATTGTGCCGAGCTGGAGACTAGCTGGGAGGCTGAAGGAGCCAGCCAAGCCCAGGATTAGAACCTGAAGCCCCACCAGCCTGGCCAGTTGGGAGGGGGGTACAAAGTGGCCCCTGGAACATTGGCTTTCCCTGAGCTCTGAGTGGAGACCAACCCTCCTGTATGTGTAAACCAGCCAGCTCCTAACTTTACCTTCCTTTATTTACTTTTAACTTTTTTTCCTCCCCCAGCAAATTCAACAGCTTTGCTTCTGGGCATTTGTGGGAGAGACGGGAGTGACCTTTCCTGATCTGGCCCCCCGAGCTCTTAGCCTGAATGACTTGGTTTCTTTTCCTATCTCTCCCTCCCCTTTTCCTCTCCCCAGCTGACTCCTGACACACTCATGGGGAAAATGGGTGTGTCAGGACAAGGTGGTGAGGAAGGAAGGGTGAAGAAATTCTCATCACAGACTCTTTGAAGTGAAAGGGACATGTGGACCCGGTTCTTGGAGAAATGGTCTTTCTCAGGCTGGTGTCTATTTTCCTGGGGACCCAGCTTCAAGTCCTGGGTCTCAACTCTGTTTTTTATCAGTCGGGTTTCTTTGGCAAGTTATCTTTTTTTTTTTTCTTTTGAGACAGAGTCTTGCTCTATCACCTGGGCTGGAGTGCAGTGTTGTCATCGTAGCTCACAGCAACCTCAAACTCCTGGGTTGAAGGGGTTCAAGTGAGCCTCCTGCTTCAGCCTCCTGAGTAGCTGGGACTACAGGTGTGCACCACCACAGCTTGCTAATTTTCCTTTTTTTTTTTTAAGTAGAGACAGGGTGTTGCTCTTGCTCAGGCTGGTCTCAAACTCCTGACCTCAAGCGATCCTCTGGCCTTGGCCTCCCAGAGTGCTAGGATTACAGGTGTAAGCCACCATGCCCAGCCTGAGCAAGTTATCTTAATCCTCTGAGCTTTTATTCCTCATCTAAGAGATGGGGTTATGAATCTCAGTGTACCTCACAGGGCTCATATGCGATGAGTTTCTTTGTACATGTGACTCAGGGTGGTTTCTGCCTCCTCCTGCTCTGGCTTAGTTAGAAGTGACCAGTACAGGGTGGTCCCCAGAGAGGGGTGTGTTTTGCTTTGTGGATTTTCTCTATTTTAGCAGCTGGATGACTCAGTGGGGCGGGTGGGATGTATTAAAGGTCACGGTTTCCCCTCTCTGTGTCTACTCTGGGAGGCTCATGTCTCCCTCACCCTCCTCCCTGCCTAACCAGGGTCTGGGGGTGTGATTCCCACTTGAGGCTAAGTAATAGGCGGGGGAGTCTGGGCATGGGGGAGATGAAAGCTATAGGGAGAGTAAGGCCAGCCTTTTGCAGTTTACTCTGTGCTCCACACAGGTCAGAAAACCTATGGGTGCATTTCAGTGTCCGTGCGCCCACCTCAGGTGGGACCAGATTTGGGTCAAAGCACTGGTGTTCTTGGTCTCCTGACAAGCTGCCTTTTGCTCCAGGATGAATGTGGTCAGGAGTAAGCCAGTTTGCCTGGAGGGAGTAGGGGAAGGGTTGCAGCAAGAGTCTCAGGGCAAATGCCACCTTTGTTTTCCTCTGCCATCTTCCCTCACCCGTTATCTCTGGATCTTCCTTCCCTGCTGGTGAAAGTGCTATTTTGAATTCTCCCTTGCATCCCTCCCCATCAAGCTCTGGGGCAGCCCTTTTTCTCCCTCTGGAGAAAAGCTGAGATCTGGTTTTATTGTCTGGGGGCAGCTGCGAATGGGTCTGCCCTGGTGGCCAAGATAGCACCTCCAGAACCCTGCTCCCTCCTGACCAACTCTTCTCTCCCCAACAGGTAGAGCAGGTCCCTCTGCAGCCATGTCGGCCAAGGCAATTTCAGAGCAGACGGGCAAAGAACTCCTTTACAAGTTCATCTGCACCACCTCAGCCATCCAGAATCGATTCAAGTATGCTCGGGTCACCCCTGACACAGACTGGGCCCGCCTGCTGCAGGACCACCCATGGCTGCTCAGCCAGGTGAGCCCTGTCCCTACCCTGGGCTCTTTTATCAGGCCCAGGGGCTGAGGAAGAGAAAGCCATTGGAGATACTGGTGGGGTCACGTGATCACGTCAGTGGGTGGTGGGAAGTGGGCTGAGCAGGGTTTTATGTTCCCTGTGGGCCCTGCATGTTGGGGTACTCTGGCATGGGCTTGGAACTGGACAAACTGCTGTCCAAATCACAGCTCTCTGTTTATTAACCATGTGGCCTGAGGCCAGCCATTTCACCTCTTTGAGTTTAGATTCCCCATCTATCAAATGCGGATAACACTCTGGAAAGCATTTAGGGTGCTGCCCAGCACTTGGTAGATGCTCAATAAAAAGCAGGTGTGTGCTCTCCCCTCCCTGAAGTGGAGCCTCAGGAGTGTGTCAGGGCAATTATGAAGTGTTGACCTCTCCCTTTGTGAAGAATGGCCCTGACCTTGGGCGATCAGCTTGGAGTGGAGGCTTCTGTCTTGGATCCCTGTAGGGCCATTGTTAGAAAGCTTTCCGACTTCTTTGTAAGGCTTACTTTTATTAAAAGGATTTGTTCTATAAAATTTGGATTCAATCAGAAGCCTGCTCTCAAGGGATCCAGAAGACCATATGTGGCCCCGAGGCGACGGGTTCCCCACGCCTGCAAGGTAGTGAGTTGTCTTGATTGTTCACAGGCAATTATTGACGGAACTCCTTGTTCTATACTTTCCCAACTTCTCACTACTTGATTGACTAGTCTTAAAAAAAAAATTATTAAAAAAAAATGCTTCTTTGGCAGGGCCTAGAGAGCAAGACTGGAACCAGTGGTGGGGTTCCTGCCACTGTGAGGCAGCCCAGCCACAGAGGCAGGGGATTTCCTGGCGCTGGAGGTGTGTGAGCAGTGGCTAAGGGCTACTTGCCAGGCCTGTTGTACACAGGGTTCTGGCACAGTGATGGGGTTGACCAGATGACCTCTGAGGTTCTTTGACACTCCAAGGCTCTGTCTCTCTGTTTTCCCTTTTGGGACACAGGGTCTGGTCTATATTCTGAGGAGTTGTCTGTTAAATGAAGAAGCTAATACATCACATCCCACAATAAGTAGGGAATCACTTATTCACTCAGTGTGTATTTGCTGAGTACCTGCTCTTCATCTTCTCCATGCCAGGCCCCATCCTAGGCATGGATGGCTCTAGATTCCTGGTTGCCAAAAAAAAAGATGTAGGCTGGGGTAGGTGAGGGAAGTTTCTTGGAGTGGACCCTGAAGGATGGGTGGGGTTGGCTTTGGAGCCCGGTGAATTGGAAGTCATCCAGGCTGCCCTCTGCTTCGGGTCCCTACATTGTCACCTCTTGTTCTTTTTTCTCCTTCCTGGCTCTGAATACAAACCCCTCTCATTCTAGAGCTTGGTAGTCAAGCCAGACCAGCTGATCAAGAGGCGTGGAAAGCTTGGCCTAGTCGGAGTCAACCTCACTCTGGATGGAGTCAAGTCCTGGCTGAAGCCACGGCTGGGACAGGAGGCCACAGTGAGTCCGGGTGTGGGATTGGTTTGGGCATGCTGTGGTAACAGAAGCAGACGTGGTCGCCTGCAGACCAGCAGCTCTGTGGATCACCGCCACAGGCAGTCACACTGTAGCCCAGGGAAGGCGACAGTCCTGTGGAGGTGACCCCCCGCCTAGTAGCAAGTCCAGTCTCAATCCCAGGGAATCCAAACTCCTTTTGTTACTGGTTTGGGAAGAATGTGCTGCAAAAGTAACCCCAGTGCAGTTCAAGAGCCCGGTGGAAATGGTCTGATCATGGACATGGGACCATTCTGGGAACACGTTTTTTTCTGGTTTCCAAAGAGAGTTATGGTAGCTTGTGATGACATGTATACATAAGAGGGTGGATTAAAAAAAGATGAAAAAAGGGATGTACAATCATATAGGTGGAAAGACATAGGGGCAAGAACCTAGTATGAGATTGTTAATAAAATTCAACTTTTTTTTTTTTTTTTGGAGACCGTCTTGCTCCGTCATCCTAGGTAAAGTGCAGTGGCGTCATCGTAGCTAACTGCAGCCTTAAACTCCTGGGCTCAAGCATTCCTGTTGCCTCAGCCTCCTGAGTAGCTGGGACTACAGGCATGCGCCACCATGCTTGGCTAATTTTTCTATTTTTAGTAGAGACGGGGTCTCACTCTTGCTCAGGTTGGCCTTAGACTCCTGAATTCAAGCAATTGTCCTGTCTTGGCCTCCCAGAGTACTAGGATTATAGGCATGAACCACTGACCCTGGCCTAAATTCAATTCTTGACTTTTCCTGGCTTGGTGATTAATCTCAACTATGTAGATGAGAGAGCTCAAGTGAAATATGGTTTAGGAAGGCTAGAAGATGCTCAGAAATGAAATTGTGTTTCTTCTCCTTCTCATTTCCTGAGCGAGCTGGAGGACTGAGGGAGGGAGTGGGGTTGAGGCTTGGCTCAGTGTAGGAAGGATGTACTGTCCACACCTGGCATCGTGCACTTGGTTCTGAAGGGCATGATGCCCGTCTGGGGTGAACCTGGACCAAGGATGAGGCATTTCCTTCCTTGGCTGCCTTGGAAGTAGGAATGAAGGTGGTGATGGAGATGTCTTCCTCCCTTGCTGGGCTTCCTCAGAGCAGCTCTCAATGTTAATTCCCGATTTCTGTTCCTCTTGGTTAAAGAGGAATCCTTGCAGTTGCACGTGGCTCTGGGGTGGAGGGACCTGACCTTTGAGTTCCCAGGCCTTTGCAGAGAGGATGATAGGGTTGGCGCTGAGCATGTCTCTAGGGGGCACGTCATGCTCCCTGCTCCTCAGCTGGCCGTTGGGAGGGGAATGTCAGGGATGTCTGAGCTGGCAGCAGCGTGGGGCCAGCAAGAGCGGCTCATTACCTCAGATGGATTGCTGTCTGGTCCCTGACTCAGCAGTGACGCACAGGGCGGGTGGCGGGGTTCGGGACGTACCGGGATGAGGGCTGTCTGGCCTCTGCCGCCAGGGACTCACTCAAACTGATTAGCTCTGCAGGCCTGTTGTCCTCAGCCGGGAGACTCTGGAAAAATTTCCCCATCAAGCTCTGGCTCTCCCCTCCCCCACTTCCATTCCCCAGGCCTGGACCCATGTCCTCAGGCTGGGTCTCTGTGCCTACCTGAAGACAGACAAAGCAGAATGGTCACCTCCCCCCTCACCCGAGCTCCCATTACCCTGCCCCAGCTCTGGGATAGCCTTGATTTGTCTGAGCTCTTTACTTTGTGCAGCTCATACATCACCCTCTAGACGAGGCCAAAAAGGAACGTGCAAGGTCAGTGCATGTTGAAGTATGGCTGGCACAAGGGCAGGGGGGCAAGAGAGGGTATCTCATGAGGACTTCTTGATCATAGGGATCTGTGACCCCATTTTTTGTGGAAAAATCTCTCTTTTCTGGGTGTCATGGTGTTGTGCTTGGACCCCGCCTCTGGATGGTCTCTCCTGCCCTGGGGGCAAGATGTGCCTTTTACCCGAGTGAGTTTCATCTCCTTCAATCTGTCTGTAGGTTGGCAAGGCCAAAGGCTTCCTCAAGAACTTTCTGATTGAACCCTTCGTCCCCCACAGACAGGTACGTGTGAGGTGGCTCAAAGCTGGGCCTTCTTCCTGCGGGAGCTTTGTCTTTGTCCACGTTAAAATGATGAAAGAAGTCAAGCTGGTGGAGGAAAGTCACAGAGACTGTGGTCTCTAAAGCTGCACTGAGGATCTGAGGGTACTACAGAGTAGGGAGTCTAGAGATGAAAGAAAGGGCTTGGTTTACAACAGGGAGGAATTAGGGCTGATAACAGAGAGGACTTCCCAGTGCTGGGGTGAGAAAGACTTGAAGGCAGGACCCTTCCCCCAGGTCAGGGCACACTGGCTCAGTCTGGACTGTTAATAGGGTAGTGGCCCCTTCTCTCCTCCTTGGCCCTTGGGGGAAGATGGTGAATGGGTCTCCCCTGGGTGGATGTTTTTTAATGGGTTTTAGAAATGAAACCACAGGGGTTGGGTTCTTCTCCTGGTGTGAGGTGGCACCCCCATCTTCCCCTCACTGGCTTCATGCTCTCTTTACCTGCAAGGCGGAAGAGTTCTATGTCTGCATCTATGCCACCCGAGAAGGGGACTATGTCCTGTTCCACCATGAAGGGGGGGTGGACGTGGGTGACGTGGATGCCAAAGCCCAGAAGTTGCTTGTTGGTGTGGATGAGAAGCTGAATCCTGAGGACATCAAGAAACACCTGCTGGCCCACGCCCCTGAAGATAAGAAAGAGTTGAGTGAGAGGGGCGGAAGGGGGTGGCAGTGGGAATGGGCACAGAGCAGAGAGAGCAGGGTGGTCTCCCTGTGTTGGGGGGGAGCAGGCAGCAGGCATAGCCCTTGTCCTGAGGTAGAGAGCTGGGTGCAGAGCGGGGACTGGCACAGAATCAGACTGAAATATGCCGCCAGCGTCCCTCACCTCCTTGCCCCTGTCTGTCTGGGGCCCCTTGCTCCAGCGTCGTGCCTGACAGTTCCTTTCCGCCTCAGTGGCTGAAGAGTGATGTCTAGGGAGCGAGGTTTGCAGAAGAGAGCGGGGGGCCAGCAGGGCGCGTGTCGGGAAGTGGAGCTGTCAGTGGCAGTGAAAAATGGCTGCGGGCAGCTGCGGTGCCGCTAAGTCCACTTCCTGACAGATGATTGTCCCTCTCTCCCTCCCCCTTTAGAATTCTGGCCAGTTTCATCTCCGGCCTCTTCAATTTCTATGAGGACCTGTACTTCACCTACCTTGAGATCAACCCCCTTGGTAACTATCCCTGCTGGGGTGGGGTGGGGCAAGGGTTAGTTATAACAGGGTCCCAGTGCCTGGGGTAACCCTGGCCTTGGCGTTCAGAGATCCAGACCCGCACTTGCCAGAGGGCAATAGGAGACCCATGTGCGGGAACAGAGGCGCCTCCAAGCTCATTGAGTGCCAGCTCCTGTTTCTGATCTCTCAGGAGGCTGTAGTTCTTCCTCTTTTAACCAACTCTAACCACTCTTTGGTCTTAACTTGTTCTGAGGTGAGGAAGTCCTGGTTTGGGTCTGTGTACTGTTGCTGTGTCTGCCACTGGGTTAGATGTCCTACCAGGAGTTGGGCCACCTCTGTCTGACCCTTTCGCCCTTCTTTCTTCTGGGTGCACTCGGCAGCCCCACCCTCCCCTCCCTCTCCGGGAGTTAGTCATTGACCCCCAATCCAGAAAAGAGCTTGGTCCAAGCCTCTCAGGCTCCGAAGGAGGCAGGTGGTGCATAGGCTGGCTGTGGCCACGGCTTCTCAGGGCAAGGTCCAGGAAGCTGAGAAATCAAATCAGATTCCAGCTGAAGGTGCAAACCCCTTAATGGACCAGATGGCCTTGTGCTAACTTAATCAGTTAAATGACCCTGGGAGGAAAGGAAGACGGATGTCCAGTGAGGTAGCAGAAAATGAATCCTGCTGGCCTGGGGCCCAGTGCACCCCACGCCTCCCTCCACCTGCTGCTGGGGCTTCCCCTGGCCCGGCCCCAGGAAACCCAGATGGACACACCTAGGGGGTCTTTGACAGGAATGTGTACTTTAAACACTTTTTTTAATGGCTGAGCCACAGGTCTGCACATGGTTAGATATTTAAAGCAGGGAGTATGGCATTTTATAAAGATGTTTGAAAATTGCCACAGCAACTAACACAGACCTTCCTGTCCTGTTACCTATAGGTCAGGGAAAGGGAAATGGCCTTGTAGAATTTGTTTTTCCTTTAATGGAGGAAAGCCGTGTCTCTGTAAGGGCCATTCTGTTTCTTGTCAAGCTTAGGGAGTTATAAGGCCTGCTTGGGACCCCATGGGGGTGGTGTTTGGGGGTTTGGAGGGTGGTGGTCACCTTTGCCTGGAGCCAGTTTCTAACTACTTCTCTTTTCTCAGTAGTGACCAAAGATGGCGTCTATGTCCTTGACTTGGCAGCCAAGGTGGACGCCACTGCCGACTACATCTGCAAAGTGAAGTGGGGTGACATAGAATTCCCTCCCCCCTTTGGGCGGGAGGCGTATCCTGAGGTAAGGCTGGTTTGGAGAGGAGAGAGATGGGGGCCGGGGAGAGGGTGACTAATCTGAGACGTGCATTTGGTCCCCATCGGAAGCTGTCCATTTGGCAGGGAAAGGAAGACCGAGAACCATTTAATTTTCTTAAAATCCCAATGGGGTTGGGGGCGGGAGTCAGCCAAGCCTCTGAATCCCAGCCAGAAATCCTTTTAGATTTCTCTCGCAATCAGCCTCCCTTGGCTCTTAGCTTGATTTGTTGCTTCTTGATAATTCCAAGTGGCTCCCCGTAATCCTGTCGGAAGGTAGTTCTCTTGGCCACTTGCTGAGAGAATTTTAATCGCTCCTTCCCACCGCATCCTTGGAGAGGTCCACACAGCAGGATCAGGCCTTCTGCAAAATAGCCCAGACCAGGGGAAGAGGCTGGGCTGGGAGGGGGGTCGGGCCTGGGAAGGGAAAGAAGGGTATGTTATGGGCAGAGCAGGTAGATACTGGGGCTGGGGGTCGAGCAGGTGACATGGTGAGGTCAAGGACTTAGGCAGAGGGCCAAGGACTTAACATCAGAGAAGGGAGCAGTGAAGTTTGTCCACAGGTGGTGACTGCTGCTATGGGGTGGTGTAGTACTTAGAGACACTGTCATGTTTTGTCGCAGGCATTTGTGGCCCTGCATAGTCCCCATTAAGGCGATTAGTGACCTCTTCATGTACCTCCAGGGAAAGGGAAGGGGTCCTAGGATTTGGGACCCATTGAGGGGGGTACCCCCAGGGCCCACCTGTTGCTGTCTGGTCCCTAGGAAGCCTACATTGCAGACCTGGATGCCAAAAGTGGGGCGAGCCTGAAGCTGACCTTGCTGAACCCCAAGGGGAGAATCTGGACCATGGTGGCTGGGGGTGGCGCCTCCGTCGTGTACAGGTGACTGAAGGGGACTGCTAAAGGGATGCCAGCCAGGTCCACCCAGTAGCTACATGTGTGTGTGGCCTGGGGGTCTCCAGTTTCTCACCTTGGTGTGGGGCAGGAACTCTTGGGACAGACAAACACGGTGGCATCCCAGAGGGCTTCGAGGAACTCTGCTGAGGCCTGCCTTGCACCATGTCTCCTGCATCCTTGTTTGCTTCAAAATTAAGTTATTTTTGTGAGTTTCAGTTCTTACAGCTAGTGCTATGTGCTCCATGCAAAGGTACAGCAAATACAGACAGTGAACTAGAAAGTGAAAGTTGCCTGGCCACTTCTCCACCCTCTCCCTGACCAGGTCACCCAGCAAGCATATAATTGTACATGCTCCCAGCCACTTTAATGCCTGTATAAATGTTTATACTTTTATTTTATAGAAATATTACTCTTTGAGGCCAGGTACAGTGGCTCACACCTGTAATCCTAGCACTCTGAGAGGCTGAGGTGGGAGGATCTCTTGAGCTCAGCAGGAATTCGAGACCAGCCTGAGCAAGAGCACAACCGACCTTTACAAAAAATACTGAAATTAGCCAGGCATGGTGGGGGGACCCTGTAGTCCCAGCTATTGGGGAGGCTGAGGCAGGAGGATCACTTAAGCCCAGGAGTTGGAGGTTATAGTGAGCTATGCTCACGCCACTGCACTCTACCAGGGGCAACAGAGCGAAACTCTGATTTTAAAAAAAAGAAATATTACCCTTTGTAATAATGAGCAATTTTTTAATTTAAAACATAGTAGACATCTGCTCATTTCTAGATGTGTGATCTGCCACATTGCCTTCTGTGGCTGGCTGGGGCTCCTTCCTCTGGCTGCAGCACAGTTTTCTCTGCTGGGCAGGCTGTCCTGCACTGGGCAATTTTTCTTATCTCACTGTTCATTTTACCTACCACTGTCTGTCCACAACCCCCTGGGGCCCCAGGGCTGGCAGAGTGCTCTGCCCAGAAGCGTGTGACGTCGCACGGTTGAGGGTTGGAGGTCTGCAGGCTGACCGCAGTGCTTCGGGGCGTCTGCATGTCCGCCCTCTGGCTCTAGACCCAGCACTGACTTCCATGTCTTCCTGGCAGTGATACCATCTGTGATCTAGGGGGTGTTGATGAGCTGGCGAACTATGGAGAGTATTCGGGTGCCCCCAGCGAGCAGCAAACCTATGATTATGCCAAGACGATCCTCTCCCTTATGACCCGAGAAAAGCACCCAGATGGTGAGATGCGCACGCACACACACACCCCTTCTCCCAAAATAGCCCAGCA